AGTTCACTGTTGTGCTCCAAAAACACCTTTCTCAGTGGAACATTCTTGCACACCTTCAAGCTTGTGTACGACGATGACCAGACTGCCAACTCAACCGCCTCTGCGCTTAGCATGCTGCAAATGTCTTCGTTGGTGAGCTGAGTGACCCCAAGTCCGCGCCAGCCAATGTGCAAGCTGTTCACACTTGCGGTGTTGATCAGGTGTGAGAGCACAGAGGTGGGTAGTTCCATGTTGGCAACGTGGAGGTGCTCGATGGCCGAGAGGTTCCAAGCTGACACTGGCTCTGAAGTCACCACGACCCGGCTTGGGCTTCCTGGTGCAGCATCAGCATCAATCCCAGTTAAGTCGCGCAGTGAAAAAAACTTGCTGAGATCAAACGTCGGGATTGTGTGGTTGCGCTGACCAAAGAGCTGCAGCTGAACTAAGGCCGACAAATCGGGCACAGCCTCAAGTGGGTTGTCACTGAGGTCAAGGGCGATGAGGTAACGGCTTGTGTTCAGGAAAAAGTGCGTGAGACTGTTAAATGAAAGGTCAAGGTAACGCAGCTCCGGCAACCCAAGATCGTCGATGCGCAAAAGGTTGTTGTCGTTCAGGTATACCTCAGTCAGGGTGTGGTGCGCGCCTCTCAACGTGTCACTCGTAATCGACGTAAGCTGGTTTCCTTGCAGATAGAGCGCGCTTAGAGATCGGCAGTGGCCAAACACGTTGTCTGGGAGCTGATGCAAGAAGTTGCCGTCCAAGGTGATGTATCGGAGGCGCCGACCAGCCCCAAACGCATCAGCCGCGATTGCAGAGATCCTGTTGTCGTGCAGGTTCAGCGTTTCAAGAGAGCCTGGCACAAACTGAGTGTGAATGGCTCCCAAGTCGTTGTTTGACAAATCGAGAACCCTCAAGGAAAAAAGGCTTGCAAAGGCACCTGGCGCCAGGTCGCCCAAGAAGTTGTCACTGAGGTCGACGACCGCCAGTTTCTCTGCGCTATCGAAAGCTGGATTTGGCAACTGCGTCAGATTGTTGGATTCTAGGTTGATGGAAGTTAACTCAGGCAGGAGAGAAAAGGCATCTGACTCCAGGGCGGAGATACGATTTTGAGACAGGTCCAACTCGGTGATCCTCAGATCCACGAAGGTGTTGCGAGTCACTTCCGTGAGGAGATTGTACTTCAGGCTCAGCCAGCGCAAGCTTGCTCTAAATTCGAGGAGAGCTGTAGGTGGCTCAGTAAACACATTGTCCGACAGGTCCAAGCACGCCAGGGCTGGCACGCATGACGTATCGGCGCAATCATAGGTCAGCTGAGCTAAGAAGTTTCGGCGAAGGTCAAGCTCAACCACATTGGGCATTGCGCGCAGCCAATGTAGATGGAAAGTTGACGAGCGCAGGCCACGCAATGCGAAGGCCTTGACCGAGGAATAATTGCCAGAGGACAGCAAAGCTTGAAGGCTACTTGGGTCAACATCTCCTTCAATCCCCAGGGCGCAGGGTTTGAGTTGCTGCAAGGTGATGCTAACACACGTGCTGTTGCGATCATGCTAGTAGCTAGGTCGAGACTGACGGGATTGGCCGTATCCGCTACATCTTTGGTTACGACCGTGTCCTAGCTTATACGGAGCGAACAGTCTATGGTTTGACTTCAGCCCTCTATTCATTAAGAAATTTGCTACGCCCGGGGTCGGATGTGGAATAAGTAAATACGCGTAACGTGACGAACGGCTCCTTATACTAGCGCAGCCTGAAGCCATACATAAGTTGGAAGGTCGTGAATCTTGGTGTGTGGCGCGCTGCTGCAACATAGGAAACCGGGAGCGCCGATCTAATGTGAGTAGACTGTGTGGGGTGCCTTGCTTCTCCCGAGGTCGACTCCGACTGCGTTGAACCTTGGTGCGCGCCCCTGCAGGCGATGCTGGCGGGGATGCACGGTCTTGATGTCGCAGTGAGTGGCGATCAAACACCCCCGTTGCAGACGAGGGCCTAAAGTTGCTGGTGTCATGGAATCCTTCTTGCGTGTCCTGTTTGAACTCGTCTTGCGCATCAGGTTCACAGAACAGCTGCACGATGCGCTCCAAGTGAGTCAGGTTGACACCTTCTGGTGTGGGCGCATTGCGTACGCTGTCTTCTTGCGCCAGGGCCTCGTGGTCCGTGTGAAGCTGCGACTCCACGGCGCGCAGGGTGTGTACAGCGTTGTTGCACAGGAGGTACTGATTGTTCTGGCAACATGGATGTTTGGAAAAGTAACAAGAGAGGTGAATCGAGACCCAAAAACAATGCCCGAGAGGGGCGATCACATCACAGTCACAACACTCTCCAGTGTGGGTGACACGCTAGTCTTGAGCACATGTCCACGAAAGTCGCACACCAAAGCAAACAAAGCATCGTGAACTGATATCTTGCTTACATCCTCAACAGCCGATGATCGCCGTACATGCTCTCCTGCTTGTGCTGAAGGTATGGGGTCTGCACCCATCTCCGCCCTCGTTGAGTGCATGGGTTGACGCTGCAACGGTGAAGCGTGGCGGCGATGGGCGACCGGCCGTGCGTTGGCGTGCTGCATGGGTACGAAGACTGCGAACAACAACAACAGCGTTGTGACAACGCACACCATCGTGGTTGGTGTTGACCGGTGGGTCATGGGCATTGTTGTGCGAACGTGCGTTGTGAGAAAAGTGAAGCATCAAACGTTGGTCGAGAGACTTGTGGTGTGATGGATGTGACATGATGTGACATGACATTTGACGGTGTGGTCGCAGGATCGACGGAGAAAAGACACACAATGTGCGGTGTGACTGATTGGAGGCGTCAGGTGACATGAATAGGTGAGTGATGTGAGACACAGCATTGTTGCTTGCTTGTGTGTTGATGATGATCAAGCACCAAGCAATGGTTTGTTGTGGAAATGATTGTGATATGACGGATTTGTCGGGTCGTGGGATGAACGAAGACAAAACACACAATGTGCGGTGTGACTGATTGGAGGAGTCAGGCTTGTGATGATTGTGTGTCACAGGGCTTTTGTTGTGTCCTTCTTTTCCCTCCAGTTCTGTTGTGCATTGGTTTGGTTGAGCTGTGATTGGGTTGCCATTTATTTTCCCCACCTCCAAGATGGCAAGCATCCAGCAGCAGCCAGCACCAAGCGCCACGCGCGCGCAGCCTGAACAGCAGCAAGAACAGGAACGAACCCCACAGCCACAGCAACAACATGTACAACAGCAGCAGCAGCCGCAGCCAGAGCAGCCAGAGCAGCCAGAGCAGCAGCTTACACAGGAACTTCAAGAACTGACAGCTCAACTGGACGAGCTGAGACAACAACAACAACAACAACAACAACAACAACAACAACAACAACAACAACAACAACAACAACAACAACAACAACAACAACAACAACAACAACAACAACCACGCCAGCAGCACCAGCAAGGACAACAACAACAACAACAACAACAACAACAACAACAACAACAACAACAACAACAACAACAACAACAACAACAACAACAACAACAACAACAACAACAACAACAACAACAAGACCTTCCTGGGCGTCTCCACACACGACTCTCGACTATGACCTGGCTTGCAGATGCCTCCAAGCAGCCGTTCCACGAACTTCACACAACCAGCACAACACTCACGCTGTAAGCAAGGGTGGCGCACTTGCGAAATTGGCAGTTGTCACAATGCAACCCTACCCGGTCCAGCGCAAACACCAACGTTGTTTGCCATGAAGCCTGTTTCCTCTGTTGCCTCACAAGCCTTCACCTCCCTCTCCTGCTTCGTCCTCATGTTTCGTTCCTTCAGGACTCCGTTTGAAACAACCCTCGATCCGTTGCCCTGGCTTTTCAACGGGTGCGCGTTTGACATTATGTGTAGTGTTCGATTGCTAACTGCTGTCAGCCGGCTCTCACCATTGTACATGACCATCACATCGCACACCAACTCCCAACCCTTGAATCGAAACGTAATCACGTTTCATCTATGGCTCCATTCTTGCAGCTTGGACCGACGAGTGTAAGTCCCTTCTGTCTTTCTCCAAGTGCTCGGAGGCAAAGCGTGAGAAGGGCAACAAGGGTGCACAACTTAGTTCAGCTGGGGGCATCGTCTGTGAGGCGATAGATCGATGTTGTGCTGTGACGTTGTTGCTCGAATTCACAAACAAGCTTTGTTTGCATTGACATGCTCCAGGCTGTGAGTTTTCCCTGGCGGTCGACTGGTTGCGTCAGCTGCAAGGAAATTGCTCTGCGTTGAGCGTGTGCTTCGTGTGTGATGCGATGCGTTGACTTGTTGATGCTGCCTTGATGCCAAGCATATGTTGTGTGAATCTGCACCCATACTTCCTCACCTCCCCCCTCGATGATGGACAATTGCTTCTGGTCATGTCGCTGTTCATGGATGGCTCTCACTCCTAGCCGGTAAGTAATGAGGCTGTTTGTATGAACGACTCGTTCTGCCCTAACATTCTCAAATGGATCAGGGTACTTGCTCAGAGCGTAACTCGCACCTCACGTTGTCACACGCACCTCACCTGATTGCGACGGTTTTTTTTTGATTACATCCACACCATCGTCTTGGAAGCGGGTAAGTGGTCACATGCTGATGCGCGTTGGACCGTTTTGAACCTTATGCGTTGTCCATTTCGTCCAAACTCAACTCACCCCAACTGTACATCACGCATGTCCATGTCTTGCATTTGGTTTGGCAGCTTGTAAGTGTGATTGTGGCCCTCTCGACATCCGTGGTGCTGTAAAGCTTGCGGTGTGCTTGCAGCCTGTTAATTGGCCATCGATCACTCACTCACTCCCTGATTGCTGCATGTCGTCGATTGGACGCTAACTGCTGCTTCGCTCGCGTCAGCTTGTGAGTGTGGCGCTGTATCGCTGGCCTTGAAGCTGGTACTTGCTACTGTTGGCTTACGGTATTGTGCACGTACACGAAGCAAACTCACATGGTACCTGCCTCCATCACGTCAACATTCACTCTGACCTTCTGGCCTTGACCTGAATCATCTCCGATGCCTGCAACTTTTCCTCAGCACGTACGAACAGTAACTCTTTGTCACTTTATTGTGCATCGCTGCATGAGGTGGTGGTGCCACTGCTTTGCGAGTCATTGTGACTGTGCGGCTTGTTTTTTTGGCGCTAACAATTTGCTGCTCTCTGCAACTGCATGCACGATGGCCTCCACTTCCCGCTCTTCCCGTCATCTTCATCATACAGGAAGTTGGTTTCCACGCGTTGCAATGATTTCGTGGTCGACTGCAATTGTCGTTGCTTCAGTTCACTTGTGTGCATGACACAAGAACGTGATCGCACTCACATTAGCCTTTCTTGAACTCCCCGTGTCTGTCTTCGCTGATGCTCACATCGCTGGTCATCAACTTCATCGACAAGTCTGTGAGTTTCTGAGTTTGGACATGCTCTTGAACACCAGAAAGGAGTCATGAGGGGCGTTCTAGTCCTTTCACCTCTGACACTTTCAGTAACCTGTACTCTCGATGCTTCTGGCCGGTGTTTTCTTTGAATGCTGAACGCATGCCTGTGACCAATGCTCTTCGATAGTGTGTAAGTACCAACGCGGAGACTCTTGGCTTGTGCACAATGATGTGACTTGCTTGCATGTGGAATTCCGAATTTGGGTGTAGATTTCTCAATCTCTCTTGCGGTTGTCACTTGCTCACATTGTGATGACTGGTTGCTCGCTTTATAACAACAGGAAGTACGTGACGTGTGTGCAAGCCCTTCATGCGATTTGTGCTTCCTGCGTGCCCTGTGTTTTTAGATGCCTGTTATGTTTGAGGCTTGTTATGTACTCACGAAAGGACGGGTGGTCGCTTGTCCACTCATGAATCAAACTCGCCTGTCATCCCTCGCAGCAAGTAAGCAGCTACCACTGCTAGTTGTGCCGCTTTCTGGTTTGCGAGTGAGCAGGCATGTACTCCTAACTATGTTACTTAATGCTCACGCCATACATCCGCTCACGTCATCGTGTTTGACTCAACGCGCGGTTGTTCGGCACCGAAGCTGGTGAGTCATGTGTGCTGCTGTCATGTTCGCTTCGCACAACCACTCGCCCACATGTGATCATGAACCATTCCAGTGGAATCATTCCAGTGCTACTGAGTAGGTTGTTTTCGAGAACTCACCACATGGTGACAATGGGTTACATCTGCATCCATGCAGGCGGTGAGTCGTTGACGACTTGTTGAGGACTCAAAGGTTGCCGTCGAGTACTCGACTTGAAACTTGAGTTTGTTGGATTATGTGCCGTACTCGTTGAGTGTGAATTTGCTCGATGTTGTGTTCGTTGACTCATCTCACACTTGCAACTCTTTCCCTCTCCCACACTTCACCCCTTCTTTCCTCGGACCTCGCAGCTTGTAAGTGGCGACTCTTGTGGTGATGCTTTCAGAGTGCTTCAGTGCTTGAGTGTGGTGTGTGGCGCATGACTGCTCATTGTCGTCGTTGAACCTGGCAGGGATGAATTCGTGGAAGCAATCATCCTGGCTCTGGAGGCGTATCCCACCATCAAAACGCTCGAGTAAGGCGTTCTCACTTCCCTCAGCTAAAGCTGCAATGCATTATTGTGGAGTCGCCCGGTTTGCCATTGAATGAACTCACTTTCATGCATCTCGCTCTGTCTGACTTGAAACATACAATGAAACCGCCTTCAGTCTGAGCAACTTTGAAGAGCCTCTCATGAAGAACCACGGTGTCCTCCTTGGCGCAACCATCATCTCCTTGGACCACGACGCCACCGTGACGTTGTGAGGAGCTTTGTGTTTGTCAAATATTGAACCCACTGAAGTTCAACGCAGGTCAAACTCACAGGCCTTCACTGTGTTTCGTTTCATTGACACGTGACAGTCATAATGATGACAGGGATGCTAAAACAGCATTCGAAGCCATCGTTGGAAAAAGTTAGGCACTTGCTCGCTTGGTCTTGCCCGGTAGTGCTGTGCGTGCTGTCATTTCATGTGTGCCATTCATTTCATGGATGGCTTGCCAAGTGCCCATATTCTCAGCATTTCAAATGGTAACGTGCCTGCTTTGACACAGAGGAAGAGATTGGCAGGCTGAACAACGACGTCCAGAACAAAGGTGAGCTAGCACGTGGTGCGTGTGTACGTCTGTGACCGCTGTTGTCCTTGTCGTGTCGGGCGTCACCAGTAGTCAATCATGCTTGTGTCTGCTTGCCTTTTGAGGCTACTTGACTGGTCACCCGCTGATCCGAGTATGGTGCGTGCTGGCACACCATGGCTGTGGTTGTTGGGACACAGAGGAAGAGATTGGCAGGCTGAACAACGACGTCCAGAACAAAGGTGAGCTAGCACGTGGTGCGTGTGTACGTCTGTGACCGCTGTTGTCCGTGTCGTGTCGGGCGTCACCAGTAGTCAATCATGCTTGTGTCTGCTTGCCTTTTGAGGCTACTTGACTGGTCACCCGCTGATCCGAGTATGGTGCGTGCTGGCACACCATGGCTGTGGTTGTTGGGACACAGAGGAAGAGATTGGCAGGCTGAACAACGACGTCCAGAACAAAGGTGAGCTAGCACGTGGTGCGTGTGTACGTCTGTGACCGCTGTTGTCCGTGTCGTGTCGGGCGTCACCAGTAGTCAATCATGCTTGTGTCTGCTTGCCTTTTGAGGCTACTTGACTGGTCACCCGCTGATCCGAGTATGGTGCGTGCTGGCACACCATGGCTGTGGTTGTTGGGACACAGAGGAAGAGATTGGCAGGCTGAACAACGACGTCCAGAACAAAGGTGAGCTAGCACGTGGTGCGTGTGTACGTCTGTGGACCGCTTGTTGTCCGTTGTCGTGTCGGGCGTAAACCGATCTCAATTGTATTTGAGTGTTAAGGTTTTTTATTCTTATGCGGGGGTTGGTAGGTGATGAAAGTATGGTGCGTACTTGAGACAACAGGCTATGGGTTGTGTGCATAGTTAAT